CACCACCAACACCACCACCTCCTCTCTTCCTCCTCCTCCTTCTCCTCCTCCTCCTCCTCCTCCTCCTCCTACCCACCGCCGCCACAACCACCACCACGACCACCTCCTCCTTCTCCTGCTCGGCTCAACTTCGGTCTGCTACCAACAAAGACGATTGACATTTGCAACGCAGCAGACTGTTTTGTAAAACAGGATGAACTGACTTGTGTCTAAACGTTTGATATGCTTCAAATCTCATGCCATGGCAAACTCAGTCCCATCTTTTCTTGTCACCCGCTGGAAGTATCTGAATTCAACGTTGTCAGCGCAGACATCATGAGCATATGTAACTTCAAAGATCAAAACACAACATGTGAATTCAGAGATCAAAACACAACATGTAAATTCAGAGATCAAAACACAACATGTGAATTCTGAGATCAAAACACAACATGTAAATTCAAAGTTCAAAGCACCAGTACAGCCAGCCAAACGCAACTCCATCACCTTGCGGGTATAACTCCATCAAATCCTTCTGTAAGGATCACCCCATTGCCCGATCGATAAAACTTACATCCATCTTGCATCGCCTGTGAAACATTCATCACATGTCAGAACCCAACCTTACTTCTATCACCTTTGCTGCATCTACGAATATCAACAATTCGCAGTTTTCTCTGAAACCGCTCACTTTCTCCTGGCCTGACCTCGGCTGATAGGAAAGAAACAAACGTGAGTTACAAAATGTGTTTGTTAGATCGACGACTTGGCTGACCTGGAGGTCTGTTAAATGAATGTGTTGTCTGCTCATTCTCTTCAATCCGTCTTGTCTGATCCTTCACAATGCTCGCACTTCACATCTAACTTGTCATGTCGAGAAAACTCACAAGTCCCAATGCTTCAAATAAGTTCCATGAATGCAAACTTGTGGCGGCTGATAGTTTCATCGTCATCGTCATCGCCGCAACAAACAACATCCCCACCTCTCTCATCGCTTCCAACAAGTTCTCCTGCTTCACATGTGCTGCAACCTTGCAAGTGACATCAGCAACGTGTTCGATCAGTACATGAGATATTCACAAGCTGCCCGTGCCCTTGTTGTGCTCGCACTCTCAGTTGAGCCCCAGCCATGATCAACTGAGCACGTCCGAGTCACAAGCACGCAAAACAGCAAGTTAGGAGGAAGGAGAGGCTAAGTAGGAAGGGAAGAAAAATGCAGGCAGGGAGGGAAGAGAAGGCAAGGCAAGGCAAGGGGGGGGGAGGGAGGGAGGGGAGGGGGGGAGGGAGGGGAGGGAGGGGAGGGATGGATAGCTGGAGAGAGCTGGGGTACGAGCGTGAAGAGTGAAAAAGAGAGCAAGAGGAAGGAGGACATGTTTATCACCACAAATCGTTTCTTGTCATTGTGTTCTACCACCTTACGGACATCAGCAACGGTGTATCCTGCTGGAGATCAGTTTCTCCCCTTGCTCCTCCCTTCCTTCTCCTGCTCGTCCTGCTCGTCCTGCTTGTCCTGCTCGTCCTGCTCGTCCTGCTCCTCCCCTCCCCTCGTACCTCGGAAACTCGCATGCCTCAGCATTTCCTCCACCGATACAGTACCATCATCCTCCATTGCGACCCCTGCCATCACAACTCGTCATGGGCAGGCGTCCCACCCTAACTCCTCACCAGCTGAGATCGCGCCATGGCGGAGAAGCCAGCTCATCTTCTTGCTGAGACCCACCAGCCGCCCGTCCATCTTGAAGGATGAGACGACCGTCTCCTGCGATCTGCATGAGGAGGTTCGCGAGCGGTCGGGGCTGCCATGCTGACCTTGCCCGACGGCGGTAGGGTCGATGCCGACGATGAGCAGAAGAACGATGCAATGCACACGAGGAGAGAGAGAGAGGAGGTCGTGATGGATGATGGGAACACAAGGCAAGACCAGGAAAGAACGGGAGCGGGAGCAGGAGGAGGAGCAGGAGCAGGAGCAGGAGCAGGGGCAGCAAGAGCGAAAATTCGGAGTGGAGGCCGAAACGGGGGCAGGGCGAAGCTTGAGATAGGGAAGTATATCCATATTACTTAATACCATACTTAAAGGATATTACACCTTGAAGGGGTGGGAGGGAGGGAGCGAGGGCCAAAGTCAGTATCCCGTTGGTATGACAGGGTGGACGCCAGCTCCAGGGACTCGCATCCCATAAGAGACTCCTCCTCCTCCTCCTCCTCCTCCTCCTCCTCCCTTTCCTCTATGCTTCTCTGACACTCCCTGCACTCGGATCCCTTCCTCTCACTACAGCTATCCCTTCCGTCCTGTCCCGATCCGTCCGTTGACTGCCATGCCTTGAACGTGAAGAAGCTCGCATCATGAGGAAGAGGCTGGACTTCGAGCTCTGCATGTACATTGCGATATGGTATTTCTCTTCCGTCGTCTGCACCAACACCACCAAGACCGTGAACTTACACTGGGCGCTCCTGACCCTGACGCAGCTGAGCCTGTCGGCCCTGTGCGGGTTCCTCATGATCTTCGTCTTCGGGTTCATTCCCTACAGGCCGCTCACGAACTTCTACCAGCTCCGCTACACAGCCTTCGTCTCCTTCTGGTTTGTGGTTGGCTTCGTCACCCTCAACGAGTCGATCCGCATGATGAGCATCTCGATCGTGATGACGTATCGCGCCGCCGAGCCTCTCTTCACCATGGTCCTCTCCTTCTACCTCAACAAGAAGGAGAAGCTGTCTTGGCTCAAGATCGTGTCTCTCGGGCCCATCATTGTGGGAGCGATCTTATCCTCGTTGTCACAGAAGCAGGCTACATACAGGGGCATTCTCACCGTCACTCTCTGCAACCTCTCGTGGGCCCTGATCAGGATCTACACGAGGAGGCTGAAGCAGGAGTACTCGCTCGATGCCTGTAACTTCTTCTTCCAGATCTCGTACCTGGGAGCTTGCCAGCAAGCTCTTGTCCTTTTGCTCCTCTCTCCTCGCATCAACCAGCTCGACGAGGTCAGCGGTCACTTGCACGCAGACGCTGGATTTGCGCTTCACCTTCTCATCAATGGGCTGACGTTCTTCCTTTACCTTCAAATGTCGTGGCTCGTTCTGGCCAGAGTGTCGGCGGTGACTCACTCTATCATCAACTCCCTCCGCCTCCCCTTCCTGTGTGTGTTTGGGTGGTTGCAGTTTGGAGAGAATCTTTCTAGTATCAACATGCTGGGGATAGCATTGGCATCAGTTGGAGCAGTGCCATTCTTTGTTATCAAGGACAAGAGGTAAGAACAAGCAGCTGAAAGGAGCAAGCTGGTGGCGTTCTCAACGAACAGGATAAAACAATAAACAAAATCTACAGGGCACCACAATGCTCCCATAGCACTAGGACACAAATAGCGGAAATGAACGACTGTATCCATTACGTGCTTGACTGTAGGCAACGGTAGTTTCTCAGAGCTTTCAGATGCGCCAGGACCCCACTGCCCAGAGACTCATCCGCGGTACCTGAGTCTGACCATCTTGAGCGTCGGCTGCAAGTTGCAGCATCATAGCTCTCAGAAGACTTTTTCTTGTCCTTGGATTCATCCTTGTCCACCTCGTGCAGCAGTATGATCATCATGTGCTCGTCCTTGGTTACATTTACATTCATGCTGCACAGGATCTGCGTGCCGTTACGATCATAGAGGGTAGCAAGATGGTTCACACTCCCTGTAGCAGTGCTTGCTTCCGTCAGAGCCTTTGAGAGGCTCGCAGCATTCGTAAGAGGCCCATAACAGAGACGCAACGATCTCCCTAACACCTCGTCGGCATGGAATCCAAAACGATCCAACCAGGTTCCGCTAGCACTGATGATCTTGTAAGGGGGACAGCAATTCACTGTTATGTAATAGCTCGTCTTGGTTGGAGCAGCATTGTCCTTGGGGGGCGATACATTCAGCGAAGATTCAGACAAGCTTTTCCTGTCCGGGATCTGCTTATTCACTGGAGAATCGCCTGCTTGTTCCTGCGGCTTCACTTCATGTGGCACGAGGTCATCTTCTTCACCATCCAGCTGTATCTGGACATTTTCAACCTCATCTTGGATCGACTTATAAGTCTGCACAAAGGCCGGTCCATTCACACAAGTGGTATCTGTTGAATATGTCACAAGACGTACAGAAGCCGATCTCGGTGAACCTGACTTAGCGTCATCGTTCTTCACTTGATGACATTCAGAAGGAACAGGTGCCGCATTCGAAGAAGGAGAGTCGTCGGAAACCTTGAAGTGAATCAACTTTTCCTTCTGCTGTAACTCAGACTCCATGAGCTTCTGCTCGTATAGTCTGTCTATGCTCTTTTCGAGGTTCATCTTTTTGCGAAACACAGAGAGCATGTTGTCAAAGACTGAGGATGTCTCGAGCTTTTGATTTGAGTCATTGAAAAGATCGAACTTGCGTTCTCGATGGTCAAACGATGAAGAGCTCCAGCTTTTGGATCGTGTCATTGAATGCCTGACCATACCTGAATCAGAACCTGCAAGCTCACGTCACTTTGATTTGTCTGAAATCTATCACATCAGCTTATTTTCGATGTTCTGCTTTCGAGTTGCCCGTACTACTTCGTCTGGATTGATTGCAACTTCGACTTGCTGACCTTGAAACTTCTTCTGTATACTCTCGTCGTGTCGTTATCAGGTCCTGAACTTTTCAACAAATTCCTCTCTTCATTCTCTCTTGGCCTCGCTGTTCGCAAAACTGTCTTTTTCGTCATCCCTATTCTCCTCTCATCTTCCTCTAGCTAATCTCTGAGAGTGGTCGCATGGCCCGTTTCGATGGATGGCGCCTCCTACGCAGCGACGAGGGGGGTAGTGCTGCCAGGTGGAGTATGGTGGGTTGTTTTGTTTCGGGTCCGTTGACCAATATTGAACAGCACGAGGTAGGGTGTACTACCCCACCTGTTCTTGAAAGCCATAGATAGATGGAATAAACCGGTACTTTGTGAATTAGTGCCGTCTATCCTCAACAATTGAGGGGTCGGAGGGTTAACAGATCTTGCTTGAGGAGATACTTTGAGATTCAATCTCGCTCAATCTCCTCGCAGTTAAACTTGACCGATGGGTCAGTGGGGCCTGAGAGGGGCTGAGGCAACCTGGCACGCACCGCCGGGCCGGGCCCGCCGCCACCGCCGAGCCTACCGACTCTCAGCCCCACACACTCAGCCTCCGGGACTCGGGAGGGCGGCCGCGGCAGCCGCGGGCGGTGGTCCCGGAGTCCGGCCCCTCAGCGGCGGCCCGTCCCGCCCGGCCCCCCGACAGGCTGCCGGATCGGACACACTTTTGCCGGACGAAGGCTGCCACCGTCACCGGACACCGGGCCCCCGGGCCAGCCCCCGGCCCCGGGCCCCCGGTGTCTGCCGGCTTCCGTGGCTCCCGATACCGCAAGTGATTCCTCCATGGCCGCCTCCATGGCGCGAGCATGGCTTGCTTGTGCTGTGATCTTGGTGGAGCTACAGGTAAGAGGAGGAGAGATGATCCGAGATGCGACGAGCCATCTCACACTCGGATGCGACGATGTCGGAGTGAGCCTGTGCTGCAGTGTGGGGCGTCATTTTGTTCAGTTCCTTTGGAGCACTCCGTCAAGTCCGGGAAGCCGCAACGAGGGGAGGGGATGAAGCTTCCAGCTCTTCGATCCTGTTTAGCTCCAGCAACGATCCTCCTGGTCCGTCATGGACAGACGGAATGGAATGTTCAAGGCCGGTATCAGGGGCATATGGACTCTCCCCTGACTGCAAGAGGGAGGTAAGCGAACGCTGGGGCTGCTGCGCTGTTTTGATCCGTTGCTGCAAGACAAGAAGCACAGCTCCTCGGAAAGGTGAAGCCATGTCATGCGATGTGATGGGTGTTGAAGAGCTTGCCGAAGCGCTTGAAGGAGTCCAACAAGATGATAGACAACGTGTTCAGCTCCGATCTTGAGAGAGCTCGGTGCTGTTGAAGTCTTGTCGCACCCCCGGTGTGCTGATGCTGACGTAGGGATACGGCAAAGATCATCTCGGCAGAGATCGGCATTGATACGATCCACACAGATACGAAACTAAGAGAGAGAGGATTCGGTGAACTAGAATCTCCTCCAGAAAGACATTGATTGACCTGGGCTCCTCTGCAGGGATCTTCGAGGGACTGACGAGGGAGGAAGTGAAGTCAAGATATCCTGAGGAGATGAGCACGTTTGCGAAGATGGATCTTGATTACAAGGTAGGGAGAGGAATTTTTGGTGACGAGGGTGTGGACGTCAGTGATGGTGATGGTGATGGTGAATGTGGTGATAGTGATGGTGGTGATGACGATGGTGATGGTGATGGTGATGGCGGTTGTGTTGGTGGCATATTTACGACGACGTGACGAGGACGATGAGTATGTAACGGATAATCGCAGGTACCAGGAGGGGACTCAAGACGGGAAGTGCTGGACAGGACGATGCAATGTTTGCAGGATGTAAACTTGTTCGTTTCAATGTCGACAATGATGCATAGGCTCATGAAAGCTCGTGTGTTTCAACACTGATTGAAACGAGACATCAGATCTATCTTCTTGTTGTGTTCTATGAGATGACACACCATCTTATCCTTGTTGGCTCACACATTTGCTCAAGGTTGCTCAGAACCATCCTGGCAAGGTCTCGCTGGTGGTGAGTGCCAGAGATTTTTAGCGTGTGAGTGCCAAGGTGTTGAGAAATGTCGTCAGGTTACCCATGGAGCGGTGATAAGCTTGCTCATGCGATGGATGCTGGGAATTCCGTTCAGCCCTCAGGTTTCAGTCTCCCATCGACTTGCTCCCATTTCCGCTCGCCCCTCTTAAACTTGATTTCCCCTGCCCCAGCCTTTTGCTGCTTACCCCAAGTGTACTTGTGCTCATCATCCTAAGATACATTTTATCACCCATGTACCTCTCCTCTCCTGTCCTCTCCTCTCTACTCTGCTCTCTCCATGTCCTTATTGCTTCATCTCTCCCCATCATTACAGTCATGACGAACTTTGCTTGCAACGTACCTGACGAGCTTCACTAGTCGCAAGCGCACGCGGACTTCAAGATCAGGAACTCATGTGAGGCGGAGGCTTGCCGCAGCGAGATTCCTTCTCACTTTGGTTCAGGCCTGTGCGAGTTGAGATATGTTGGGACCAAGTGAGATGAGAGTTGGAGGATGACAGCATGTCCTTGTAGTGTTATCAAGATCATGCCGTTGCTGTCATATCAAGACAATGCTGTTCTTGTGATGATTGAGATCATGTTGTTGTGATGATGAAGACCATCATGATCATGATCCTGATCATCATCATCATTGTTGTGTAACCAAGATCGTCCTGTTGTTGGTTGATGCAGCTGTTTCTTGACCAGGTGGGAAGTGTTGTCATTCGGAGATGTCGCTCACTGCGAACTCGACCACATCCTGGTAGACATGTTTTGCTCAAGAACTCTCCTCTCTGACCCGCTCTCAGCAAAGAGTTTGACTAGAAACAACCCGAGCGAGCGGGTCGGAGGGACGTCTTTTCCTCCGGAGGCTCGCAGCATGCAATTTTTTTCCATCGCGTTTCCTGTGAATATCAATTTCCTTGTTGCTATACGTGTGACAAACTCGTCTACACTTCTCCACTCCTCCTCCTCCTCCTCCTCCTCCTCCTCCTCCTCCTCCTCCTCCTCCTCCTCCTCCTCCTTCCCAGCTCCCATCATCACCGCGGGTACAAATTGCTCTCCATGTTGTCATCCCAGAAGCTCAAATCCCCGCTGACCCCGTGCACTCCCGTCGATCGCTTCACTTTCGCCCTCGCGTTCTTGAGCGGTGGCGCTTGTGAGAAGCCTTGGGATGTGGCGGACAAACCTCGCAAAGTTCGCTCGGGTGTGAAAGTCACCTGGTGAGCAGGAAGTGCGGGACGAAGAGGGGAGGAAGTGAAGGAGAGAGAGATCGGAGGAGGAGGGGGAAGGAGAGAAGATGAGGAAGAGAGAGGAAGAGGCGAGGAAAACAGGAGGAGATCAGGAGGAGCAGGAGCAGGAGCAGGAGCAGGAGCAGGAGGCAGTAATGAGCGACAGCTAAGAATAACAAGACTAGACTCATCACCGTGTTGCCGATGGAAACAACATAATCTTCTTTCAGAATTTCCGTTCTGCTCCTCATAACCCTGTGCGCCTCCTTCTCAAGATTGCTTGCAAAGATGTCCGCTGCCACGAGGGCAACATATCAGCTCTAAGTGTACTCGTTTCGCTCCTCCTCCTCCTCTTCCTGCTCTCTATCATCATCATATTCCTTCTCCTCTTTCTCGTCGTCATCAACTCCTCCTCCTCCTCCTCCACCTCCTCCTGCTCCGCTTCCTCTCCCTGCTGCTCCACTCACCGCTCCTGATGTATTCTCCCACATGAACTCCTGCCTTCACCGCCTCCACCCTCTCCGCGAGGTCAGGAGACACTTCCGACGCCCTGCGAGACACGCGACGGTCACGGACAGAGAGAAATTGGACGGCAAAGAGGAGGGAGAATGAGAGCGAGGAAAGATGGGAGAAGAGTAGAGAAGGGGAGCTGAGAAAGCATGAGAGGACGAGGCGGAAGAGGAGAGAGGGAAAGGAGGCAGCAGGGAAGGGAGGGGAGGGGATAGGGAGGATCAGGAGTGAAGAGAGGGTGGGGAGGAAACCATAAGGGAAGAGGACGAGTGAACAGGAGGAGGGTTGAGGAGGAGAGAGAAGGAGTGAGGAGGAGTGAGGGGGAGAAGGTTGTGGGCTGAGGGAGCAGGAGAGGAGAGGGAGCAGGAGGGAGGATAGAGAGAGAGGAGGGAGGAGCATCACCCGATGTTGAGGCGCGCCAGCTGATCTCTTGTCTTCTGTCCATGAGTCGTTCGAGCCTCGACTACTGACTGTACCATGTCCTTAACGAGCTTGTTAGACGCTCGACAGAACAATGCTGGTTGTTCCTGCTGCTGCTCCTGCTGCTGCTCTTGTTCCACCCTCCCCGCAGACTTCTTCTGCTCCTTCTTCTGCTTCTCTGCCTGCTCCTCCTCGTTCTCGTCCTCCGTCTCCTCCTCCTCTTCCCCCTCATCGTCGTTATCTCCACTAGCTCTACATCCGTCTTTCGTATCTCATCTCTGCCAAGTCCTGACAACTTTCTTCTTCTGTCCTGTCCTGTCCTGTCCTGTTCTGTCCTGTCCTGTCCTGTCCTGTCCTGTCCTGTCCTGTCCTGTCCTGTCCTCACCCGCTGCAGTATCGACGAGTCTGCCGTTCTCCTGGGCATCCATGGAGCTCCGATCATCCCGAGTACGCCGACCTGAGGGAGAAGAAGGATGAGAGGAGGAGAGGAGAGGAGAGGAGAGGAGAGGAGAGGAGAGGAGAGGAGAGGAGAGGAGAGGAGAGGAGAAGAGAGCCAATCGAAGACAAGGGACATCTCAGCTTGCTATCAAACAAGTTTCTCCGACATGATTCGACTATCCAAGAAAATAACAGAGTCAAGTCACCTTGTAGTCGAAAATCTTTGCTCTCGACACGATCGGTCCCGACCTGCCATGGTTTCCGATGGTGTAGTAGGAGTCTGTTGTTGGGGCGGTCTTGACGGAACATGTTCAGCGGAGGAAGTTGACAAAGTGCGATCAGGGCACCTTGAAGTTGCCGTAGGCAACTGCTGTCGACCCATCGTAATCTGTTATGATCACCGGGCCCTGAGGAAAAAGTGTGTGGGGTGAGCAGAGGGGAGAAGTCGAAATGTCAAGAGGAGAAGGAAGTTAGAGAAATGAGGCAAGAATATGTGAAGACAAGATGTTAGATGAAAAGAAGTGAAGAGGAGGAATTCAGTGAGAGATCTTGTTGATGGTTGTCATTGACAATGTTTACCTGCTCTGATCCTGGTCCTGCTGTGATGGAACATGTTTGACCAACGTAATATCCATCCTATGTTGCAGATCAGGCAATATCAAGTTGTTGTCGTCATAATTGTAGTCGACATCATCAACGCCATCAACACCTGCAACTCCCACCACTACCATCCTCCTCTTCCTCCCCATCCCCATCCCCATCCCCATCCCCACCACCACCAGCACCATCACCAGCACCATCACCACCACCACCACCACCACCACCACCATCGTCATCGTCATCGTCATCGTCACCAGCAGCAGCAGCAGCAGCAGCAGCAGCAGCAGCAGCAGCAGCAGCAGCAGCAGCAGCAGCAGCAGCAGCAGAAGCAGAAGCAGCAGCAGCAGCAGCAGCAGAAGCAGAAGCAGAAGCAGCAGCAGCAGCAGACAAAATTGTCATCATTGCCTGCAGCACACAATGATCATTGTCATCACCTGCGACTGTCCGAACTCGAGAAGAATTCGATCTAGCCCTCCTCCTCTCGCTCTCCCCGACACGCACTCCAGCGGTGTCACCGTGCTCATGTACTTGATCCCTGCGAACTGCTCCATCCCTCCTCCTCCTCCTCCTCCCGCAAGCCTCCTGACTCTCTTCATGTAGAGGAATCTCATGATGCAGATGAAGATGAGGAGGCCGACGAAGCAGGGGATCACGATAGCGATGATAAGCTTCCAGACTTGCGACTTCTTCTTCGCCTCCGCCGGCCCCGCCGGCCTCCCGCAGATACCGTATCGCATCCCCGTGTAGTCAGCCTGCATACTGTCCCCCACGAGCCCTGCTAGGTCTCCTGAGACCTGGAGCCTCTTCAATCAGAAGCGAGGAGGAGGAGGAGGACGAGGACGAGGACGAGGACGAGAACGAGAACGAGGACGAGAACGAGAACGAGGACGAGGAGATAAGAATGTGATGAAGAACGGAGAGGGAAGAATCATTGAAATGGAGAGGAGGAGGAGCGGGATGAGGAGCTGGTGTGGCATCGGAGGAGGAGCAAGACGAAGGCAAGGAAAAGGAAGAGAGGAAGGGATGAAATGAGGAGGAGAGGAACAGCGAACACGAGCACAGTGCCCAAGACAACGAGCAAGGAAAACTCACAACGATGGCAAAGGTCTGGCAAAGGTCACTTGTGTTCAACCCCTGCACAACCCTCTTCCCCCTCACAGTCACGTTGACCACGCTGGGCCCAGCCTGCGTGATCCGAACCTGCTCGACGTTGTTCACGTCATCACCAAGTAGCTTCCCGTTGCCGTAGTATGTCTGCTCCTCCACCTGGTTCACCGGGAGCTGCAGGACTTGATTCATGGTCATGGACGAGCCGATGGCTGCGGTGATAGGGGTGACGGAGACGGAGAGGTCGAGGTCGTTGACAAGGAGCGTAGAGGAGGCGAGAGCAGGAGCCGGGTCCGTGTACACCAGGGTGACCTTGAAGGGGCTGCTCTGACTGGCCCCTGTGATGGCGAGGGAGTAGAGGAGAGTATCGTTCTGACTGAGCGAGAACTCTTGGGGGGAGACCTTGGCCTGCAAGTCCTCGAACGTTCTGCTCACTCCCTCCCCTGCTGCCCCCACGATCTTGGCGTCCCTTACGAGCATGCGAACGTTGATGTTCACTGCCTGGTTGCGCCAGGGGCAGGCGTCGAGCACCGACAGGTCGCTTGGGCAGATGAGGTAGGAGAAGAACATGCCCGGGTAGCGCGGAGAGGGGATGGCAACCTGGCATGTGGGCGAGACCCAGCACCAAGACTTGCAGCAGCTGATATCTGGCTCTCCTCCTCCCACCAGCGTCTCGTTGCAAAGGTTCTTGTCCCATGGCGCGCAAGTCTTGCCGTAGTTGGGCCCAAGCAGCTGCTTCCTCTTCCCGTCAGGGTCGTTGGCGGGAGAGAACAGCAGGTCGTTGCTTCCCAGGCAGGTGCAGCGATCGGTCAGCGGCGTCTGCTCGTTGAGCTGGATGACGTTGAGGAGGTGAAGTCGGCCGAAACCCTCGTAGGGGTTGGGGAGGGAGAGGGAGGAAATGTCTGTTCTCTCCCCACTCGCCTCCTCCTTCTTCAGCATTTTGTCTGCTGACGCTAACAGCACAGCCTTCACCAGCGCCGCGCTCGGGCTCCAGACGTTCCCTCCTGCAGTCCCCAGGGGGAAGAATCCCTGCTCGAAGTAGGAGCGCTGAGGAGGTAGGAATTAGGTCCTCGTGGAGGAGAGGAGGGATGTTTGGAGAGGGAGTAGTGGAAGCAAAGCTGTGTGGAGGAAGGGAGGGCGAGAAGGAGGGGAGAAGTGAGGGACGGAGATATTGGGTGAGATAGCGGGAAGGGGAGGGAAGGGGAGGGCGGAGGAGGAGGAGGAGGAGGAGGAGGAGGAGGAGGAGGAGGAGGAGGAGGAGGAGGAGGAGGAGGTTGACAGGGAGAAGATAAAACTCTCACCACAAGAGCTGCAGCTGCAGCGACCTGAGCCGCTGACATGCTCGATCCTGAAACAAGTCAGAGTCAGGTGACGCAAACAAGAAGCAGGAGCTCGGACAGGGATAGGGGCAGGGTCAAGGGCAAGGGCAAGGGCAAGAGCAGGAGCGGGAGCGGGAGCGGGAGCAGCAGGAGCAGGAGCAGGAGCACCTGTCAGAGCGACGATGGAGGACTTGTCGTCTCCCCCGCTGTTCATGCAGCATCTGCATCCTCGAACTCCTCCTGAGTTTGGATCGCCATCGGACCTCGCACTTAGCACGTTGACACCGGGAGCCATCTGGTAGGAACGAGATGGGAGGGTGAGAAGAGAAGGGCAAGCAAGGGGGATGATCGAGGAGAGAGAAGGAATCAGACTGAGAGGAGGAAGACTTAGAGGAGGAGGGGGAGAGGAGAGGGGGAGAGAGGGAGAGAGAGAGAGAGAGAGAGGGAGAGGAGAGGGGGAGAGAGGGAGAGAGGAGAGAGGGAGAGAGAGAAGAGAGGGAGAGGGAGAGAGGGGAGGGGCAAGTGGAGGAACGAAGAATTCAAGGAAACAATGAACGAGAACGCTTTGAGACGAGGAAAGGAGGAGGGAAGCAGGTGGGGAAGCAGGTGGGGCAAATTTGACATGGAAGGTGTCAAACTGACCAGCTCGGGTTTGACTCGCTCCATCTTTAGCCTGGACTTGTCCGTGTACAGGTTGCCGATGTACGTGGGCGGTGCGTTGGCAACTTTTGACACGTAGCTAGTCAAAGTCCCCTGCTGAGAGACTGCAAACCCCAGCTGGTTGCGGTAGTCGATGGTCTCAGGGTTGTCCCCCCCATACTTGAAGGCGCAGCAGGAGGCGAGCTGGGAAGGTGGAGAAGAGGAGGAGTCCACACACACGCCGCTCGTCCCGGACCCCTGCTCCCAGAACAGCTGGGGACAGTCTTCCGGCCTGCACTGGTCCAGCAGGTACTCAGCTCCTGCCACCTCCTCCTGCTCCCAGAGTTGGGACATGCCGACGGTGAGGCAGTTCTTGCAGGTGCCAGGGGAGGACACGCTGCTGTAACCTCCCTCCGAGTCGCCAGCTGAGAAGATGACGAGCAGGTCGGGATGGGAGTGGACGAAGTCGTCGACATCGCGCGAGTCGATGGTGTAGCGGTTGCAGATTTGAGGGTCACCGTGTAGGGAGGCGTCCTGGGCGATGAGGTAGTTGTAGCTGAAAGAAGTCTCCTGCTCCTTCCACCAGCGGAAGTCGGAGCAGCTCCAGGGGTTCAGGAAGATCCTGGCGCCGTCGTTGTAGGGGCGGGTGAGGAGGAGAGTGATGGAGTCGGGGGGGGAGAGGTAGAGGGAGGAAGAGGAGGAGATGTCAACAACCATCAGCTTTGCAGAGCTCGCGATGGAGTTGTGGATGCTGAGCGGGGTGGAGAGAGGGAGGGAAGGGAACGCAACCGGATCGTACGCCTCCCCTCCTGCCGAGGCCGCAACGTGCGTCCCGTGCCCTTGCCTGTTGAGGATCGGCCTCCTTCCCGGCAGCATGTCCGAGGGAGCGATGAACCGAGCTCCTTGGTCCTGAGGAGCACAGGACAGAACTATCTCCTTCCTGTGCTGAACGATGTTGCATCCCGCCCCTCGCCATCCCACCTTGCACTGAGTTCCTATGGTTCCGTCAAGGTTGACCGACGTCCCGTTGAGGAATAGCTGTAGCTCCATGCGCAGCAGGCGCTGCCTGTCGAGGATGTTGTTGGGGGAGGAGGAGCAAGTGACGGTGAACGTCTTCAGCGCCTGCTCCAGCTCCGCCAGGGTCCCCAGCACCTGCAGCTGCGACGGAGCTGACGAGAGCATGACGGCAGGAGCAGGGAGTAGCGATAGCTGCACTCCTCCGATCGCCCCGTCCTGCCCATTGCGAAAGATTCCCTGGATCGGGAGGAAGGAGGAGATTGTCAGCAGCCACCTCCTGTCGTCCCTCCTCCCGTCCACCAGCAGCGACCCAGCAGGGAACTTGAACTCTGCCCCCGAGGTCAGGGAGAGCAGGAGGGTATCGATGTTGTACGTCTCCTTTCTTCCCTGACAAGTTCCTAGCGCCGCTGAGCATCCGAGATCAAGGCAGGGGACGATGCTGCCGTAGTCGCTGGGGCAGCGATGAGCTGGGAGGAAGGTGCGGGAAACAGTCCCTCCTGCTGCTGCGAACTGATCGACGAACCTGACGCGGGCGAGGAGGGAGGAGGAGGAGATGCAGTGGGAGAGGGAGCAGGCAGGGGGGAAGCAGCCACCCCCGCACACCCCACACAAGTCAACCTGTCGCCCGGAGGAGGAGGAGCCGTCACAGTAGTTCTTGTTGGTGTCTGCGCAAACGTTCGCGTCCCCGACCGAGTCAACTCCCCTCCTATCGTCACTCCTAATCTTAGTCGTCCTGCTGTCAAAGGAAGGCAGCAGATCCCCGTCGCGCTTGTCGCTGCAGGGTATCGAGTTAGCATACAGCTGCCCTCGCACGCTCACGTAGACGGACACTGCCCCGGCCTGACTCGCTGCGTTCATGACGTAGATGACAAACCCGTCTGCTGTCTTGGGGAGGGTTGAGTTGGATGCCATGGTGTAGAACGGAACGTTGACCTTGAAAGGAGAGGAGGAGGAGGAGGAGGAGGAAGAGAGCAGGTGCTGGAAGCCCTGGCTGTTGAGACAGGTCGTGTTCCAGTAGCTCAGGTCCTTGAGCTGGGCGCTCGTGGACCGGGCGAACGTCTCGTTGCTCAGCACGCACACTGCAATGCCGAACTGAGCGACCTGCCTGCTGGCCTCATTGTTGACTGTGACGTCAACGTTCATGACAAGGCTGAAGTCCGTGTACCTCGCCGCAAACTCGTCAAACCTCCAGTCGTCAGTCAGAGGAGCCAGCTGGATCGACAGGGCCTCGGTCCTGGCCAGCAGAGCTGGGAGGGAGCGCGAGAATGAGCTGGAGGGGAAGGAGGAGATGTCGATGCGGACGCGGTTGCAGAGGCCACACGGCGAGCAGCCCTAGGAGCAAGTCAGCCAAGGGTGACCTTGTCCAGGAGAAAGCCCAGCAGGAGCTCACGGGGAACGTGTAGTAGCCGATGAGCTTCCTCCTGGAGTGATCTGCCCTGTCGTATGGAGGGACTGTCGTGTAGATCTTCCACCACTCCTGGGGGAGGAGAAGAGAAAAGAAGAGGTAAGAGATGAGGAGGGGAGGGAAGGGGAGGGGATACAAGGAGGGCGAGGCAAGAAGGAAACAGAGGAAAAAAGGAGGATGGGTGAACGGAAAGAGGGAGAATGGAAGATATAGGAGAGCAGGAGAGGAAGAAACGAAGGGACGAGGTGGAGGGTTGGACGGAAGGCAAGTTATCAGAAGAGCAGTGATTTGCCTGTGTTGTGTTGTACGTGTAGAGCGCTGAATTGGCTTCTGGGCTGCAAACATTATCATCATCACCGTCATGTAAAACATTTCCTGGCTCCTCCATGCTCAATTGTGTCTACTTTGTTCTTCTCCTCGATATGTCTGTCCTTGTTGCTTCATCCCATGCTTTTCGCATCTCTCGCACCTTTGGGCCTCCTTTCTGCCTTGTCTCACCTTCCAGTCTGCAGTCCATACAAGTTTTCGCCGAGATAGTACGATGAGACGCATTGGGAAATAGCTGCAAAGTAATCATTAATACAAACATGAAACTGACGTAACATGCATGTGACACAGCATAAATCTGACACAACATAAATCTGACATGATATGAATTGACATGTATGCAGTGAAACAAGAGCAAGACAAACAAGAGCAAACCATCAAAGCAACATGTCACCAGCATGACACAACACTTTCCAACAGCATCTTCACCTGCTTCGATCAACCTTGGATCCCAGGTCACGTTGCAAGGGTTGATAGTGATGTTCTCTCCGCCCTGCCATATTCGTTCACATCAACATCATTCAAACAGCTCCAGCTTCAACCCAGCTGATCTGAAGACTCGTGCACAACCCTGAAGATCAAATGTAAGGGCATCGCAATGATCCATCTCAGCAGGACCTGGTAGGGTCCCATTGGGATATCTTGGAAGCGACCTCGGGTCAGGGTACCTGGCAGGAGGTCATGAAGGAGCGTTTGCGGCACCTTGACGCCTCCATCTCACTTTCCGCCTCCTCTCGTGATGTTGCACATTGACTGCAACAAGTTGGTGTCGAGCGCCGGCAGGCCTGCACGTCAGAATGAGGGCCGGTGAATGTGAGAGGAGAAAGGGAAGGAAGGAAAGGGAGAGGGGAAGGGAAGAAGAGACCACTCGGTTTGCGATCTGATTGGACGAAAGCCGCCGATGCCATGGCCTAGTAGGAAGTGAACAAGATGAAAGAAAGGAGAGTGAGAAAAAGAAAGTGCCTGCAGTTCACGGATGGGAGGGACTGTAGGAAACGAAAGTCAGAGAAACAGACAAGAAGCGCGGGACAGAGACAGAGACAGAGACAGAGAGAGAGAGAGAGAGAGAGAGACAGAGATTTCATGATGTTACAATTCAATAGAGCAGTGAAGATGGTCAAGACACATGACCAAAGGGAAGGGCATAAGATATCAGAACAAGAATCCAGAGAGGAAACGACATGACATGGCTGACAAGACGAGAAACGAGTGATCTAGACCAGAACATGTTGTTGCATTTACACTCACTTGGTCCGGTCCACTGCTCAGATACTACAGGCGTGATCGTCCCTGCGATCGAGCGTGAGAGGAAGGCAATGAAGAAGGAAATGACGAAGAGAATGAGTGGAAGAGGTACGACAAGCAGAAAACAAGGAGGGAGGACGACGAAGAGAAAGACAAGAGAAAGGAGGGCAGAGATCAGCTTGCGATGGAGAAGCAAGAGGGAGGAGAAATAGAGAAGCAGGAGGAGTAGAAGCTCAAGGAGGACGAGACGTGAAGGGAGGGAGAAGGACAAGAAGAAGAAAGAGAAGGAGAAGAAGCACTGAAAGAAAGCAAAGGAGAAGGAGAAGGACTAGAGTGAGGAGGACGGAGCTGATGTGTAAAGCGACGTCTCATCACCGGGGCTTGGAGTTGTGAACCAGCACATGCACTTCTCGAACATCAGGTTTGAGAAATATCTGAATGAGAGGGTGAGCGCCACAACGAACATGACAGACATCCCAACACAAGGAGATGAAAGATATGATGTAGCAATACTACATGATGTAGCAATTCTACACATTAATCATGTAGAATCGCTACATCCTCACCTTTCTGCATGAATGGACTGAACAAGAACATCAAATCACGAGATACAACAAGAAAATGCATTGCTTATTTCCCGTTATCGGCATATCACCTGTACTCCGTTCCTATCGTATCCATAACAAGCTGCGGCGTGGTGTCTGTTTTCTCATACGCTGTTGATTGCTTTGGTATGAATCGGTCAATTCCCTGCTCTGCAAAAGAGTGTTTCAGAGACAGTGATGAAGAGCAAGAGGAAACGACAGAGCAACTATGGAACGCTGACAGCATTTTATCAGAAGGATGAAAGGGAAATTGTATCAGATCGCAAACCAACAGACGACAAAACTTTCTCTTAACGAGGAGAGGGAAGAAGTCTTAGAACAAGGAACGTTTCATCCTCATATCATTCAGCTTTCCTCTCACTCATACGGCCTTCACCTGTCACAATCTTTCCTCCACAGCTCAGACAGGTTGAGTCCAATGTCAAAATCTCCAGCAGCTTCGGCCGCACTTCACTCCTGCCATCCTGCGTCAAGCTGTTTCCTCCTCCTCCTCCTCCTCCTCCTCCTCCTCCTCTTCCTCCTCCTCCGTCGCAGCCTCCAGCAACGTACCATGCGGACAGAAGAAGATCCATCGAAGAGTCGCCACGCAAAGAAAAACTGCATCCCAATCCTCAGTCATAGGTAAAGAGCACAGGGCAGCGCAGGACTGTGAGGAGACAAGCGCACAGAAGCAAGAAAGGCAAAAAAGAAGAGAACACGGCAGCAAGAAGACGATTACTTGTATCCTTGCTGTATCCTTTGCTCTCTGCTCGTAAACATTGTATCCATCGGTGGTGTTGCTGCGCTGGCACCGTCCGCGGACCCTCTGCTCCAGCTTCACTTCCGTCCCTCCTCCTCTTCCTCTCTCACTCCATCCCCAGCTCGCCTCCACCCTCCTCCTCATAGCTCGCCGCATCCTCCTCCTCTTCCGCCAACATCCGTGCCTCCCCCATGGCCTCTCCTGCTCTCCTTCCCCTCCCTCCCCACTTTCCTTCTCTTCCCTTTCCTTCCCTTCCTCCTCTCGCGGCTCCTCCCCTCTTTACTTCATCCTCTTGCTCACCCGGCTAGCAGAGGACCATCTTGAGTTCTCGTTTGCATCTCCTGGCAATGACGAACACCGTGAGGGAGGGAGGAAGAGGGAAAGCAAGAGAAAAAGCTGGGACAGATACGTCCAGGTCGCTCACCCGAACAAAGGAAACGAAGTCGGGCTGAGCCAGAAAACTACAAGGATACAAGACCATGAGCTAGTACGAAAGGTTCAACTTGTATCACCCGGCATATGATGACGTTGAGCAGGAATCTGGGACTGCACACGAGGAGAAAATGGCAGAGCTGACGATGAAGCTGCCGAGCAAGAGTTCAGCCAGATAGCAGAGGATGATGCGGGTGTGAACAAGCAGGGCAAGGGATGAGATGGGGAGAGGGGGTACAGCCAGGCAGAAGATTGTAAAACAAAATCAAGAACGACACAACAACCATGATCAGGTTCAGGATCAAGATCAGCGTCAGCATCATGGAAGCCAAAGGAGCAGGAGGGAGTTGTTCACCAATATCGATAACTCCCAAGGCAAGGGAAGGGGAACGGCTGCTGCCACAGCATGCAGTTGTCAAAGTCAGCCCCTGTGTCTGCAATGGCGATGACCTGCACCAAACAAACACGTCAAAATATCAGTCCCCTCTTCCTCCTGTCGACTCACTTGGCCGCTGCCGTTGAGAGGGGTCGCGATGGTCTTGGTGAAGAGTTTCGTGCTCAGCCTCGAGTCCTCCGACGATCCTGGAGGTAAACAATGTCTCAACACTGCTGCTGCTCCTCTTTTCTCGTCCACCTGATAGGACAATCTTTCCCGCCGCAAAGTTCCTTGTCACGTATGCGAACCTGGCAAAGGTTTCACATGTTCGCTGCAACTTCCTCCAAGTAAACGCACGTTGGCTCAATCCAATCCACCTCCACCAGATCAGCAACCCGCAAGATGATCTCCTGCGCTGTCATGGAGCGCGTGAGAGCAACAGGAGCACGACAGCACAAGAGACCTCGAGTAGCTGACAACTGTAGGATGAGATTGTTGGAATGGTCCAGGGTCTTTCAAGGGCGTCAATCTCATTAGATAGCTTGCAAGAGGAGAGGCAACCTGCACGATGAAGTGCTCTCCTGCACCAACGTACATCGACACCATCCTTTCAAGATCCCTAGCAAACGTCCGATAGTCCCTAAGGCAGGACCGCGAGCGTTTCTGGTTCCCCGTTTCTCCTGCAAACAAGACAATCTTGAACGTCGCCGTGGCTGATAGTTGACGTTAGAGCTTCGCTCACGTCCATGGCATCACCATGTACCTGCCAGGGAGAGCTCTTGCATGTCAAATCCCAACTGCCGACATGTGAAAATCCCCGAATGTCGCTAGTGACGATTGATTTCACCTTGTCATATGCATGTCGTCTTCCCATCCAGCGGACATGTTTGGTTTCTTGCAACTCCTTGCACTCACCAAGGGGACATACCTTCAAGACAAGACCATCAAAGACCAACACATAAGCTCTGGTAGCTCCTGACCATCGTGAAGGCGTTGTGGTTCAGATAACCGCCCAACGTCACGTTCGCGTTCTCTCTGAGAGGTCCCACAAGCTCCGGGGATATCTTACAGAAGAGTGTCACGGGCTATAGTGTCCTGTAGAAAGACATGTTCATACTTGTATGAGCACTTGCAAGCATTCGCCGTCGGTCATGTTGAGGTCATGAAGAAAGCCTGATAGACTAGTCAGCGCTTTCACAACAGCACGATGGATCTACTTTGCTGCGATGCAGTGCTGATCGCTCTGTTCTGTAGCAGTATCACGTTCTCGTCATCCTCCACGTAGCCCACCATCGCCAGCCCCGCAAAAACGAGCAAGACGGTCAGACACAAGTCCCTTGCGTGCTGCTCCTGGATTTTTGTTCCCTTCATCATGGGGACTCTCATCCAGCTATGATCCATGGTCTTGGATGCGTTACAGTATGTTGATCTGCGAGCTATCACGGAGAGCTCTGGAGATCATGACTGCTGTCTCCTCTCAACATCTTCCCTCCTTCGACCGCCTCGCGCCCCTTCAAGCGCACCGCCATGCGGGTGACAAGTCTTGACTGAAAGGCTGTAAAGGTTAAAACAAAACAAAACCTACTGAAAAACTAGCTAGGATATTGTGACTAAAAGCCTCCCGGCGGCTGCTCGGCCCGGCAGCGCTCGGGCCGGGTCGAGTGGCGCGACAAGTTAGAAAAACCGGACGGACGACAATCAGGAGAGTACATACAGCGAGAACTAGCGAGAACCAACCCTCATCCCGGCCTTTTGTTAAACTTGTACTATGCCAAGTAATGCATTTATCGTATGGACCTTAGCTACAACAAGACAGGTTTGCTCAAGACCATGTTTGATGCACACGAAATCGAATTGAGGAGCACATGAGAGATAGACTGTATGGTATCTAAGTGCTGATGGTGTGGCAAGGCCGCGGGACCCAAGCCCTAACATCAGTATCATCATCACTGATTATTTATCATTATCATTATCATCATGTCAGGGATTGACCATCCTTGATGATGCTCTTTGATTCTGTGAACTTGAACCAACTTGCTAACTTGTTTAACAAGCAAACCAGGACCTCAACACAACCGCGCTCTCTGAACGTTGTCCAACCGATAGGATAAAACAAGCTAGTTAACTGAAGTATACGTAACCGCTTAGGTAACTCCTATCATTACGCTCCCAAGCGCATCATTATCTGAGAAACATCTCGATGAACTTGGCTGCATCAGGAATTAGAATTAGCCGAATGAAACTCACGCATCAATTGACGAAGAAATGGCGTCGTCAATTCACGAAATGACAACCAAGAATCAGACGCAGGATTATCATAACCCTTCCATCTGATCAAGTACTGCACACGACGACCTTTCCCACGACGAGATACGATCCACTTGGTAAAACTCACCATCCGAACGCACGATGGGATCAGGCGGTGCAACCTTTGTGTTGAAACACTCATCACGAATATCATGCTCCACCTCCTATCACATCATCATCATCATCATCATTTATCCGATCGGATGATCATTATCATCATTATCATCATTATAGTATATTATCATCATTATCATCGGCTGATCATCATCATCATCATCATCATCATTATCATTTATCCGATCGGATGATCATTATCATCATTATCATCATTATAGTATTATCATTATCATCATTATCATCATCATTACTCGGATCGTTTATTGAAAGGCAAACCGGAGCAAAACACGTTATCATCATCATCATCATCATCATTAGCGAGCAGACCAGTCCTTCCGATTGACTGATCTACAGTACAAGTTTCTTTTCTATAATATTGTTTCGCATTTAAAATGGATTGCAGTAGTCATCTTAAATTTGTGTTACTACGTGGCCGGGCAAATTCTAACGTAAATAAAATAATGTAAGTAGGCCCTATTAAAAAAAGGTGGTCAAGTATTTTAACCGCGCCGGTAGCATCCTCCCCATGGTGGGGGTGGGGTGACCGTGAGGAAGAGGTTTAAAATGGAGACCGTTACAAATCTTAAGCCTTGGGTCACTCTTTTTGTGAGAAACCAGGGGGTGGTTGGGGGGAGAATTTTAAAATTGTCAACTTAACACTCAGGGGGTGGGGTGAACTTCCAGCAAGAGTTTCCATGCTGGAGTCCATGAGGAGGCTGATGTGTGTCTGTGTGCTATGGGTTGTAGTCTTGGCTGGCATATGTCCCCAGGCCGAGGCGGCAGGCAGCGTGGAGTGTGTAAGCTGCACGTTTCTTGTCTCGGATGAGGGGTTGTTGTCGAGGCAGGGGAGCTGTGGGGTTGACTGTGGAAGTAGTCCTGGGTTGGGTTATCAAATGTTGACTTTTTTCGGGTATTTGCAAATTCGGCAAATATCTGATGGGGTCTTCGACGGACTGGTGAACTTGCAGTATCTGTATTTTTACAACAAGCTGGAGAGTCTGTCTGTCGGGATCTTCGACGGGCTCATTAGCTTAAAGGGTCTACATCTTTCCGCCAACAGTCTCAAGAGTCTGCCTGCAGGAGTCTTCGACGGGCTCCCGGCGTTGCAAGAGCTATATCTCCAAAACAACCAGCTTTCCTGCATCTCTTCCCAGGCCTTCAAGGGTTTGCCCTCCCTTAATACTTTGGACCTGAGCAACAACAATCTACCCTGCTATCATTCGTCTTGGCCAAGCTTTGCTGTCAAGGACGCGAACCTAAATCAATGTGCGAGTGAAACTGATTGTCTTGATCATGTTTCAACAACTCCATTACAAGCAACAACATCAACAACTCCATTACAAGCAACAACAACATCAACTCCATTACTAGCAACAACAACATCAACTCCAGCGACAACTCCAGCAACAACTCCAGCACCAACTCCAGCACCAACAACATCGTCAACTCCGTTACAAACAAGACCATCCACTCCAGCAACAACCATAGCACTGACTTCAACAGCAACTCCAGCACCAACGACATCATCAACTCCGTTAAAAACAACACCATCAATTCCAAAGCAACAACCAACTCCTGGACCTCCTGGATCTATGGAACCTCCTGTATCTTCGGAACCTCCTGTATCTCTGATTCCTCCTGCATCTGTTAGGGAGTCGAGCGTCACAACAATCGTTGTGATCTCAGTCGTTCTTCCGACTGTGCTTCTGGCTTTGTTGTTGGTCTACAGATACTATCGAGGGTCTATCCTTTCTTCCTGCGTTCCTCGAATGTCGTCAACCGATACAAGAAACAAAATACAAGATGTTACGCCTTCAGCACCTCCCCTGAGTGAAAAAGAAGAAGCATGAGAGTGGTGTACTATCGGTCGACTGCAAATTCTCAAGATACTGACCAGGATGATGCTGATGCTGTGAGATCGAGATGGTTTCTTTTACTTACATTCCTCATCTACCACCACCACGAGCAACAATCTGAAACCAAGTGCAAAGTATCAAGTTCCGATTTCCTTTTCTCGGAGGTTGGTGCCAGAAATGATAATACCACAAACAATTTCAACACAACAAGGAAAGAGAGGCAGTTCATCTAAGAATGCACATTAAAAAATAGGAGTCTACATTCGCTTCCATCGGATCCCATCAGATCAAGAGGATTGAACCAATACAATGCGTGCGTGTCTGTTTTCATCTCAAGACTCTGTTTTGGTTTGCTTTTGTTTTCATTCAAAGACTTTGTTTTGGTTTGTGTATGTGATGTTTTTTTCATTCCAAGACTTTGTTTTGGTTTCTTTGAATGAAAACGATAAATCCGATATACATTGAAAGGGCCTGTCCTCAACAAGATCAAGGTCGTCGGAGAAGACAAACATTCTTTGAACAAATATTGTTTGGCTTTGTTCCTTCAGATGTCTCTGTGGCAGCCTTGTTATCATCTGACAAAGTTCTACTCTGCGATTTCAGCAGGAACTTTCCTCAAATTCTACAACTTTCGATCAAAGCATTTAGGTTGGAAGCCGCTGATGTGGGGTTTATAGAGATGATACCCATATCGGCGACATGGTTTCTTGCTTTGATGATGATGTTGAAGCCATGTCGACCTGTCAACATGTAATGATATGTTCCATAGCCTCCTCCTTGTTTAGGGTTGCGCAGGTTTCACATGTTCGCTGCAACTTCCTCCAAGTAAACGCACGTTGGCTCAATCCAATCCACCTCCACCAGATCAGCAACCCGCAAGATGATCTCCTGCGCTGTCATGGAGCGCGTGAGAGCAACAGGAGCACGACAGCACAAGAGACCTCGAGTAGCTGACAACTGTAGGATGAGATTGTTGGAATGGTCCAGGGTCTTTCAAGGGCGTCAATCTCATTAGATAGCTTGCAAGAGGAGAGGCAACCTGCACGATGAAGTGCTCTCCTGCACCAACGTACGTCGACACCATCCTTTCAAGATCCCTAGCAAACGTCCGATAGTCCCTAAGGCAGGACCGAGAGCGTTTCTGGTTCCCTGTTTCTCCTGCAAACAAGACAATCTTGAACGTCGCCGTGGCTGATAGTTGATGTTAGAGCTTCGCTCACGTCCATGGCATCACCATGTACCTGCCAGGGAGAGCTCTTGCATGTCAAATCCCAACTGCCGACATGTGAATTGTCGCTCGTGACGATTGATTTCACCTTGTCATATGCATGCCGTCTTCCCATCCAGCAGACATGTTTGGTTTCTTGCAACTCCTTGCACTCACCAAGGGGGCATACCTTCAAGACAAGACCATCAAAGACCAACACATAAGCTCAGGTAGCTCCTGACCATCGTGAAGGCGTTGTGGTTGAGATAACCGCCCAACGTCACGTTCTCGTTCTCTCTGAGAGGTCCCACAAGCTCCGGGGATATCTTTCATATGAGTGTCACGGGCTACAGTGTCCTGTAGAAAGACATGTTCATACTTGTATGAGCACTTGCAAGCATTCGCCGTCGGTCATGTTGAGGTCATGAAGAAAGCCTGATAGACTAGTCAGCGCTTTCACAACAGCACGATGGATCTACTTTGCTGCGATGCAGTGCTGATCGCTCTGTTCTGTAGCAGTATCACGTTCTCGTCGTCCTCCACGTAGCCCACCATCGCCAACCCCGCAAAAACGAGCAAGACGGTCAGGCACAAGTCCCTTGCGTGCTGCTCCTGGATTTTCGTTCCCTTCATCATGGGGACTCTCATCCAACTATGATAGCATTACGCCGCGGGCTCGGAGTCCGGAGCAAACTGCTACTACTAGCGGCCGCACAGTTAAGGCGTCCGTGGCAAGCCTCCTCTACTACTCAGGCTTCTAAGCTTCTAATTGTCGCGCAGCCTGTTAAGTGAAGCTACTCTGGGTCTGACCGTACTACCATACCGAGGCTGTGGCACCGGCGGTGATTGCATAAAGTGACTCAAGTAATAATGTAACTTGCTGAGACGGCCCGGCTAGGCTGGCCCAGTGGGCTTCAAGATTCTCAGTCTTAACGGACACGCTCTCCGCCGGGTCACGGCCTCCCGCGGCGCCGCCCGGTCAAACGGTCACGAGGGCCGTAGTGGGGACGAAACTTTGAAACCAGGCGGAGGTATTCTCCGATACACTGTCGGCCGAGTCCCATCGAAGTCACGCTTTTACGAGAACCAAAACGGATATAGGAAGGTAAAAAGGGTCGATTCGATGGGACCGCTTGTATGATATGAACCGATGCGTAGTGAGTTTCCGACTGATTTCCCATTCGCTGTAAGCCGCGACCACTTGTACCGTATGAACCGATGCGTAGTGAGTTTCCGACTGGGAATGTACGTCCCTTCCCCTCTCCCCCCTCTCCCCTCTCCCCCCCATTGTAAAACTAGTACTGATTTTTAACTTAACTTTGAGTACATCGTCCTGCCTTCTTGTTACCTCCTTACCCCATGAGCTCTCCCTCCCCTCCTACCTCTGTCCGTGTCTACCCCAGACGCAAGCTTGCCCAGCATCGCCATGACCTTCAGGTCGTCGTCATCTCCGAGGAGAGCCTGCGCTCTCTCTATGACTTGAGCCTGCCAGACGCCGCCAGGAGGCTGGTGAGGAGCTGCCATCCTGCTGTGCTGCGAGCTCTTTTTGCCTGTCTTTTATGATTCCGTCTGTTGGTGTCTCTGTGTCA